CACGGGGGGGCGGGGAGGCCACACCTTTTACCTGGCCTCCCAGCAGCGCCTGGTAGCGCCGTTTGTTTGCAAAATCAGGCCAAGAGAATTAGATTTCCCAGGCAAGTAGTTTTTCCAAAATAGGGAAACCCAGCGCCCTTATTTCTAAGAAACACGAACTCCAGGGAGAAGTTGCTTAAAAGCAGAAAACCCCAACTCTGCGCCCTTAAGAAAACACTGCCCGGGTTCCTGGGGTGTCTTCATTTCCTCGGCTGTTCTTTCTCTCCCCGCCCCCGCCCGCTGTGCTGCTTGGTCTCCTTTGCGACACAGGGGCCGAGCCTGTAGCTTTGGTCAGGAGGCTGTGGACCTTGGACCAAAACTGCCATTTGGGGTCTCTGTGCGGCCTCCTTGGAGACTGGAGTCAGGAATACGCACAAGTGACAAAGCGCTTAGCAGCCAGGGGGTGTCTGGTACTAAAGGAACCCCAGTGATAAATGACTAGAAAACAACACAGGAGGCCTGTGCAGTGATGGGCTTCCTAGTCACCGTGGCCTGGGCAAACCTCCCTGAAGCTGCCGGTCAGCAGCTGCCTGGGGAGGTGGCTGGAGCAGGGGGGTGGACTTGGGGTCCTGTGTTAGCTGGGAAGAAATTTACATGCGGGCAGCTGAGGTTCGTGGGTATCCATACTCAGTCTCTTTCAGACAGTGTGGGGTTAACGCCACCCGCCTTTTCTCTGACTAGAGATTTGCCTAAAATAATGCTGAGAGAAAAGCAAGTGATGGGCAGAGGTGCAGGAATTGAAAGGGGCATCTGTGATGTGCCAGGTTATTTAATCGCAGCAACCTTCCGAGAAAGCTGATACCATCGGCTCTTTACGGATGAACACACTTCGGCTGAGATCCAGTAAATAACTTGCCGAGGTCCCACAGGGATTAGGTGGCGGAGTCAGGATCTGAGCCCACGGGGTCAGACTTCAAAGCCGTCCTTTCCTGCCCACCAGTTAGTTAGGGGCTGACTTCTGCCTTGACAGTCTGTGTCTGTCAGGAGGAAGGACTTGGTCTGCTTGTGGCTTTTTTTGAGCAACTTTATGGGCCTGACAGCCCAGCACCGCCCCACGTGTGGGCTGTGCTGGCTTTTGGTGAAACTGCTGGTCCTTCCCTTGACTTGTGAAATAATATCCAGTCTCTAAGGGTCTTAGCTGCTACTAGTCAGAGACAAGTAAGTGTTGGGAGGCCCCGAGGGACTAGGGTTGTCAGGTAACACACAGGCCATCCAGCTGAATTTGAATTCCAGATCAACAATGCGTAATTTTTTAGCATAAGTATATTCCATGCAATATTTGGGACATACTAACAAAATAGTCATGCTCTGAAATTAAAAATTCACTGGGTGTTTTGTGTTTTTGTTGTTAAATCTGGCTACCTTGTGGAGGGCAGCTGTTGATTCCTGGTTCACCGGCACTTAGCTGGGATATTTGGAGATCAGGGCCCAGAGGGAGCTGGGAAATGTGCCCCTGTGTCCCTGCACTCCCTCATTGGCTGAATGCCTGCTTGTGCCCAGCCAGAGTGGGTAGTGTGCCAAATAAGAAGAAACAACTGCCCCAGGCCCTTTGCACAAAGGGCAGTCCCTAAGTCCTGAGCTGGAGGAATGACATTGTGACAAGCTTAGAAAGGACTAGGCTTGGGTCCGTGAGGCCTTGTCGAAAGGCCCTTGGGAAGGGGTGGGGGGTAGAGTAGCATTAGGATTAAGAACTAAGGAGGACAGCTGGTCATCAAGGGCTGACTACCTGAGCCAGGCTCAGATCCATATATTTGGCTCCAGTGCTCATGCAGTTAACCGCTGCCTGGTTCTGTCTCCCCTTTAGGGCAGCCCTGACTGGTGTCCCTTAGCTTCAACCACCCTCGGGGATCTCACTACCTCACTTAACAGGTCATGTTTGCATGGGACTGGTAGGAATGTATTCCATAGATTGATCTGTATGTTGATCTGAGCTTTGTCCACCACCTATCTGAAAAGTTCTCCACTCCTGCCCCAATCCCCATGGGCTCTAGTGGCAGACAGAGGGTCTAAGTCTAGGTCCACATGACCCCTTGGTTTCCCCTTAGCCTTCCCCTCTCCAGGTTAAACCTCACTTCCATCTGCCCGCCCCCTGCTCTTCTAGATCCTGACAGTGTCATGCAGGCCTTGGGGCCAACCTGCATTCAAGACCAGGCTTTGCTACTTATTAGCTGTGTGACCTTGGGCAGGCTTCTTAACCTCTCTGAATATCAGTTTCCTCACTGTAAAAAGAGGACAGAAATAAACTCTGTCTTCCAGGGTGATAAGAGGAGGGTCCAGTGGTCCAGGAGGTGGTGTAGCATTATGTTTTTATTGGCATGAGAACTCGAACTTATAAACCGATTCTGAGATTTGCATCTGGGCTCTCTTGTTTATGAGTGTTATGTTTTGGGCCAGGTTACTTAATTTCTCACAGCCTCAGTTTCTTCATAAGTAAAACGGGATTGATACTCTCCCATATATTTGCAAGGGTGACAGGGGTTAAGTGTTCGGGGCAGTGTAGACACATGGCAGGCAGACCCTCCTCAGCAGCAGGGGCTGCGCTTGTTAATGCTGTGCCTGTCCGGCACAGGCACTTAGGCTTGTTCAGTGGATACATCGAGAACCGTGCAGATGCCTGTCTCTGGAAAAGAGCTGGGCAGCCTCCTAGGCCGAGCACTACATGAAGAGTCTTTCTTTCCTCTTGCCCAGCCTGCAGAGGTCTGGCTCTCCAGGCACATTCTCGGATCCCGGTCCCTCCCTCCCCGTTAGCTGGGCCCTACCTGAGAATCCCAGGTGGCCCCTTGGTGACCGGAAACCTCCCCGGAGCCAGCAGACAGTCCTGGGCTGAGATGAGTCACTGTTCCGGTGCTGTGGGGAAGGCCAGGGCCGGTTTGGCCAGGTTTCTTGTTGGAGCTTTCCTGAGCATAGGGCTGGTTGCGTGTGCCCTCCCATTACAAAGATGGGGAAACTGAGGAAGAGGGGGCTTAGTCTTCAGTGGGTTTCTTTTCCCAGGGGCTTAAGAGAAGTGATCAGATAGTGCTAAATTTCTTGAATATTTATAAAACAAAAGTGATGTCACATGGAGGGGACTGTGTGTCTTTTGAGGACCTGCAACATTTCCAGGTTATGCTCTTTCCTTCCCCAAAGAGATGGCGCAGTTTTAAACCTTAGCCAGGTCCCTCCATCTTGCAGGCCTCTCCGCCTCTAGGAAAAGTCTTTGTCTCACAGGTAATACAGAGTGACTTCCCCACACGCTTCCCCGAGAATCAGCTGCCCTCCCTGCCTCTCAGCCTTTCCTCCAACCATAGTAAAGCCGGGCTCTGCAGGGCCATTTGTTGAAGACCTACTGTGTGCACAGGCTAGATGTGAGAGCCAGAGCACTGGGAAATGAAGACCGGTTCTGCCACAGAAGCCAAGAGTGGGAAGGGTCAGGTGTTGATTTTCAGGGGGAAGGTGGTGTGAGCTGCCTCCCCTGACATCACTTTTGTTTTATAAATATTCAAGAAATTTAGCACTATCTGATCACTTCTCTTAAGCCCCTGGGAAAAGAAATCCACTGCCTCCCCTGTGCCTGCTCCTCTCAGTCTGAAAGCCAGATACCAGGGCCACCGTGGCTGGCCCCACTGTGTGGCCGTTGGCAGATCCCTCTCCTCTGTGGGCAGGGGTTGGCTCTTAAGATAAAGATCAGCCCTGCCCAGCCCACCCCAGCTTCCTGCCCCACCCCCACTGTCCTCTAATCTTCTCCAGTCGCCTTGGCTTCCCAGTTCCCTTTCAATGACCAGTAGTGGAGACCAGTTCCAGTCAAGGGGGCTGTTACTTTAAGGGCATAATTGGCAATAAAAAGGGCAGAATATTATAGAAATCTAGAAAAAAGCCGGAGGGTTTTTCCCCCTTAACAAAAATCATACTGAGTTGCTTCTTTGCAGAAGAGCCTCTTGTGGCTTCCCTCAGCGCACTCAGGAGGAAATCCACGCTCCTTACCGAGGCCCTCAAGGCCCCTGCCACCCAGCTGCGCCCCGCTCCTGCCCTGCACAGCACCCCAGCTCCTGTGTCCCAAGAAATCACCCTCTTAGAGCTCCCTGCTCCCCCGCTGGCCATTTCCCATCAAGGCCTCCTCCATTCTAGAGCAGACTCCTGGTTCCCCAAAGGAGCCTCCAGCCTTCGGGAGCAGGAAGCAGTGTGGGTGTCAGCTGCCCCAAGGGGATAGGGAGGGTGATGTGGCAGTGTCCCCTGGCCTGGCCTCCTCCCCCACTGCCGGTCCATTCACCCTTGCTGATGTTGCTTTTCAGCAAATGTGTGTAGCCTCTTAGGTGCTAGGCAGGGGCCTCCTGTGTTTTCTGGCTCCAAAAGCTTCCCCACCCCCTGCCCCATAGTGGTCATATTCACAGACACCCCCCCTTCCCCCCGCTTTGTGCCACAGATGATCATCCTGGTGCACTGGCTGCTGACGACCTGGTAAGTGACGAGGTAAAGGGGAGCTGTGTCACCTGAGGCTCCCACAGGGCTCCTTAGGCCATGAGAAAGAGTCTATTTTATTTCAAGTGGGACAGAAAGCTATTGGAGGACTTTTAGGAGAGGAGTGATATCACCAGATTAACATTACTGGTGGCTATATAGAGAACAACCTGGAGGGGGCAGGAGTGGAAGGAAGGAGACCAATGGGGAGGCTGGCTGGTAAATCCTGGCAGGAGAGGATGGGGGTTCAGACCTGAAGGGATTCATTTGGGAAGCAGAGCCAGTGGGATTTGCTGACATTCCTGGCTCACAGCTGGGCAACAAGTGGCCTGGCAGACTGTGGCTTCTTCTCAGGGGGTCCCTGAGATCCTGGAGCTCGAGGGAGGTGACCTGTGGGAGGGGTGGGTACCTGTGGGGCAGTCACCTGCTGACCTGACTCAGGTGCATCTTCTCGCAGGGGCTGCCTCACGTTCGGGGGCCCCTATGCCTGGGCCAACTTCACCATCCTGGCCTTGGGCGTGTGGGCCGTCGCTCAGCGGGATTCCATTGACGCCATAAGCATGGTGAGCTGGGGAGCAGCGAGGGGCCCTGGCTTCAGCGTGACCCGTGGCCCCTGCTCTGTCTTCTTCTCGCCTGTCCCAATCTTCTGTCTGTTCCTCGTGCCTGTTTTCTGTTTTCTGAAGCCTTGCAGATAAGCCTGCCCAGGCTGTGTTCGCTGGCCTGGCCTGCTCCTTTGCTCGCCTGGCCCAGAGAGCCTGGAGTCTGCTCACTGTCTTTCCACAGAAAGGCCTAGGGCAGGGTCCCATCAGTGCCCCAGATTGGCCACTCCTCGAGCGCAGTGGAGCATGTACTCAATAACCCCCAACCCCCAGGACCCTCTTTTAGGAGGGAGGGATTTGGCTGGGATACCCTCAAAGAGGGAACTCCACTACTGTGTGAGGTCAGAGTGGATACAGTCCAGCCAAGCTCTGCTATGGGGCGGGGAAGGGGAGGGTGTCCCAACACCCACTAAGCCCTGGAGGGTGGTGGCTGGGGCCTCTCAGGATGACCGAGAAGGGATTTCCTTGGTGATGGAGACAGAGGGGGGGAACTCGGAGGTACCTTCCATCTCGGAGCTTCTAGAACCAAGTCTTGTGCCTTGTCATGGCCTCAAGGCCGACAGGAGGTGAGTGGAAGCTCTGGTGGATCTGGCAGGCTGGGTCTGCACCTCAGGGCCCCCAAGCCCCTGCTCCAGCCCTGCAGTCCCGTCGGGCATCTCACCCACAGGGCCCTGCCTACCTGCTGGATCTGTTTTCCAGCAAACCCTAGGGACACAGCAGGGCTCGAATGCAGCTTCTGGTCTGGTATATGCAGCGGGGAGTGACGGGGGCGCGACAGGGAGGCAGTGTGCTCATGAACTCCGATGACGTGTCACACCTGGGCCCTGTGCTGGCCTGTCTCGCAGTTTCTGGGTGGCTTGGCGGCCACCATCCTCCTGGACATCATTCACATCAGCATCTTCTACCCGCGGGTCAGCCTCACGGACACGGCGCGCTTCGGTGCCGGCATGGCCATCCTCAGCCTGCTCCTGAAGCCGGCCTCCTGCTGCCTGGTCTACCACATGTACCGGGAGCGCGGGGGTGAGCTCGTGCTGCACGCCGGTGAGCCCCCCAGCCAGCTGCCCACCCTTTCCCCAGCCAGGTCACCGCACTGCCGTCTCCCCACATCTCCGCCTCCACCTTGCCTCACCCACAGCCCTCCCCAGGTCCTGGTGAGCGTGCACCAGGAAGCAGGGCTAGAAGGTGTGCCTGCTCCTGGCCCCTGCTGCAGGAGCTCTGTGGGCCCCCAGCTGGCCCACCCTGGTGTGACTTTTCCCCGACATCAGGCTGTAAGCAGAGTTGGGGGCAGCAACAGCCCCCCTCTGAGCTCAAGCACTGCCTGCAGCTGGGGGTGTGATCCAGTCCCACAGGCAGCTCTGGGCAGTCTGCACCCTGAGGCTGGAAGGCACCTGCAGGGCCACCCTCTCTCAGTTCCCACCAACCCATCCATAGGACAGCCCCCCGTTGCCTCCTGGGGTCTGGCTGGCCAAGGGGGAGATGGTGTCGGCATGAGCCAGGGATCCTCAGCCACAGACAGCGCTGAGCTGTAGGTGCTGACCCTGCGGCCGGCCCCCTCGCCTTAACCCAGCCCTCGCCGCCCTGCGAGCTGTACCCCTTCTCGTGGTGGCTGAGACATTTTCCTGCTCTCTCCCACCCATCTTCTCATCTCCCCTCCCTCCTCTCTCTCTCTCAGAAAGAAGTGGGGAGAGAGGTAGGTATAGTTTCCTACCTTTCACTCCTGCGAAGAGGCCCAGGGTGACCTGTGACCCCCGCCTGGGGGAGCAGTGGGGCCAAGGGCAGGAGTGGCCTAGGGGCACCCACCTTGATCTACCTCAGCACTGCCTGGCCTGCCCTGGGGTGAGGGGGAACCAGTAACATTCTTCCCATTGGACAGATGGGGAAACTGAGGCCCAGGGCCCTTGGGATTTGTTCAGGATCATAGGACAAATGAGCGGAGTAGGGATGGGAGTTCAGAGTGGGCACTAAGAGCCCTGCCGCCTGCCCTGCACCCCAGCCCCAGCTCTCTGGGCTCTGCAGCTGCCAGGCTCGGGGCCCTTTGGACAGAGCAGTAATGCTCAGCCGGGGTGCCGCAAGGGTGTTTAAAACATGCAGTACTTAACTATTTAGTCAGGAGCACTGACCTGTTTTCCCTTAGATTGTCAAATTTAAAAATGACAACAGCCAACACAGCTGTTCCATGTGAGTGAATCAAAATTATACCTTAAAAAAAAAAATTATACCTTTTTTTGGTCAGATCAGCAAAAAATATATATTTTTTGGTGTGTCACAGAATTTTAGTAATTAGTTTATGTGCCACAAGATGAACAAGGCTGAAAAGCGCTGGGATAGAGTAACACAGTGTCCGTCCTGCCTGGGCCAGCAGCGAAGGGGAACGTGGGCCCAGGGCCAGATGCCCTCAGGCGAGGTTCCTGTGCGCACTGCTTCGGGAAGCACTGAGGCGTGGTGGCCAGGGGCCCTGGCTGTGGGGCCACACTGCTTACCTTTGAATCCTAGTCCTCAGCTTTGAGCTGTGTAATCTCAGGCAAGTCAGTTCATTTCTTTGACCCTCAGTTTCCTCATCTATAAAGTAGGGACAATAGAAATACCTGCTCCGTAGGGTTATGGGAGGATCCCATGAACAATACCTGTTGTGAAAGGCATGCTGCCTGGGGCTATGGCCTCCGTCACTGTCCGGGTGCCAGGATGCCAGCTCTGGCCTGCCTGGTGGGGGTGGAGTGGGCCTCGGTTTGGACTCAGCGGAATGTCCTGAGCCTTCACCCTTCATTTTTCCTTTCTCTTCATGTCCCCACCCACTAGGTTTTCTTGGACCATCACAGGAGCACAGTGCCTACCAGACAATTGACTCACCAGAGGTCCCTGCAGGCCTTTATGCCAGCCAGGAGGGCAAGGGTTATACCCCCCAAGGGTACTGAAACCAGCCCCACTGCCCTGGCCCGGCTCAAGGGCCAGAATGACAGACTGTAGGGGAGGGTCTGCAGGGCCTTCCTTGTGCCCTGGACACTGTTCTTGGGCTGCACCTGACCCCCTTTCTTGGACCTAATGTGGGATGTGTCCCCCTGTTCCCCATCTCAGGTGTTGCCTGAGTGCACCTGTGCATACACCTGTCCCAAGCTCCGGAGGCCCTCCCTCCCTTCCAGGTACCCCGCTGGTCCCAGGCTGGGAACCGTGGTCACTTTATTCACCTCTGCCTTAGCTGCTCCGTGCAGGCCTCAGGCCAGGCTACTCCTGAACCTGGCAGAGTCCAGCCTCTAAGGGCCAGTGATGCCCCTGCCCTGGGCCTCTCGCAGTTGTCAAGCCCTCCCGCAGAGGGGCACAGGGTAATGTCCTGGTACTTCTCACTACCTGATCACTTGGTCCTGGGAACCCCGGGGCTGGAGGCAGGAGGTGTCGGCTACACTTGAGACCCACCATACTCCTCAGCTGCCCTTCTCAGAGGCATAGCATTAAAGTTTGGGGAATTGTGTAGCTGGGTGTGTGTTGAGCCATGTTTAATATCCCAGCTGGGGTGGGCCGTCCCTTCCTGGGAAGGTTTCTTCTGCAAAACCCCAGGGCTCCTGGGCTGAGCTGCCTGCTCTGCTGTTGCAGGAGGCAGGGGCTCATGACCAGCTGGGCCTGTGTTCGGTGTGGCACATGGATGTCTGTTTCTCTGAATCAGATGACTCAGGTAATGATTTTAGCCTTGCTCTGCCATGAGCTGGCTGTGTGCCCTTGGGCCACTTAGCCTCCCTGACCTCAGTGTCTCTGGGCGAAGACCAATGTTTGCCAGAGGGTGACAATGCAAATGAAACATGAAGTGCCCAGGCTACCCAAGATGACAGCTACGTTGTTGGGGTTGCTCCTCGAGCCTGTGATGATACTGGGTCAGGAGGTGACAGGTGACTTCTTCCTAGCTGACTCCAGGTCTTGGCCTTAGAGCTAACCGAACTGATACCTGTCCAGAAGCTCAGAGGGTCCCTTGGCCAGGGCCCCCACCCCACTGACTGGGATGGACATTGACCATGGGGCCCCAGGTGTCTGGCCCGTCCTGGCCTGTCCCCAGTATGAAGAGGTCAAGGCCTAGTGCACAGCCCCTGCCATTCTGTGTCTGCATCCGTCAAGGAGGCCAAGCACCTGGCAGTGCTGGTGCTCTAGGGGTGAACTCTGTGCCTATTCTGGGAGCAGACACTCAGAGTCCTCTGTTGGGAGGCCAGAGCCCTGGAGGAAGGGAACACGGCCTCGGAAGGGACTCACGCTCTGGGGCCAAGGGATGCCAAGTGCCGCAGCTGCGACAAAAAGGAAATGGCCTCACCGTCAGAAAGGGACAAACAAGCTGTGGTACCTTCACTCTACTGAATCCTGTGCGGCAGTTAAGTGAATCCACCAGACCTTTTTCTCTTGACATTGGTCCCCCCAAATGTGAAAAAACAGACTGCAGAATGGCAGTCTATGATAGGACAACCTTACTGTGAATTTTTAAACCTTACAGCAATACCTATGTTATTCTTGAGTGTAGATGCGGTAAAATGTAAAAGTGAGAACGAGGACACATGTCAAGTTTATGATTGTGGTGGCCTTGGGTGGGGGAGGGGTGTGTTTCCCTAGGTGGTCCTTATTTCACAGCTGGGAACACATCCAGAAAAAGACTTAAAAAAGATCTTTTTTAAAAGACTTCTTTAAACAGACCTTTTAAAAAAAGAAAGGTTAATGTCAGAAGGTCCAACATCAATATAGTCAGTTCCTGCCAGGGACCATGGGAGAGGAGCACCACTGAAAAGAAAGATGGCAAAGAATTTTCCTAGATAGAACACCAAAGCTCAGATTCTGGAAGCCAAATAATCACCAAACAGAATGAAGAAGAAACCCCCGCTTACAGTCCTCATCATGGGACTTGGTTCACTCACTGCTGTACTTTCAGTCCCTGGAACAGTGCCCGCACCCCTCAAGTGCTTTATAGCAGGGGGAGAATGAATGGATGAAGGAAAACTGCAGAACACCAGCCACAAACATTAAGATCCCCAAAGCAGCCAGGTAGAAAAGATACCATCCTAAAAGGAATGAGTTACACCAGCAACTAATGACTTAACAGCAGCCACAACAGACGTCAGAAGACAGGAATGTTATCTTCAAAGTAGTGATAAAAATAACCACCCAAAGTTGTGTGCTAGGGATTATCTCTCAGGGATTTGGGTGAAATAAGGACACTCCGAGAAATGACAAGAGTTTATCACCCACAGACCTTCAAGACAGAAACAGCTAAAGAATGTTTTTGTGGAAGGACATTTTTCCATAAGGAAAATGTGACAAGCATGAAGGAAATCATAAACATGGTTTAGTGTTCATGACAATAATATGTTTCAGGAGGGGTTGACCAGACACAGTGTTGTAAAGTCTTTTTTTTGTCCAGAAAGAAGGTAAATACTGGATTAACTTTAGACTTTGTCAAATAGTACATATTAAAGTGTCTTGGATTACCACTGAAAAAATAGAAATAGATTGTGTAAGTTCCAAGCCAGTTGGGGGGGGGG